CGCTGTCTAGGTCGGTCCGTCAGGGTTGCCCGCTGTCGCCCCTACTTTACGCTTTGGCGTTGGAGCCTCTCCTTCGCCGGCTGAGGGACGGGGCGTGCAGGCCGGCCCCTATGCGGAATCGCCGTTCCTGGCGGGGATCGAGCCAGGGTTTCCGCGTACGCCGATGACGTAACTGCTTTCGTGTCGTCCCGCAGAGGCATCAGGGCAGTACAGAAGGCGCTTGATCGGTACGAAAAGGTGACAGGGGCCAAGATTAACCGCGACAAGTCGTCCGGCTTGCGGTTAGGCGCCTGGAAGGGGTCGATCTTCCAGGGCCCTTCGGTTGGACGGACGGTCCTGTCCGCATTCTCGGAGTGTGGTTTGGACCCGACCTCCAGCTGGAGAAGAATTGGTCTGAAGTACGAGCAAAGGTCTACGCCGCCGGTCAGACTTGGCGTCGACGGAGGTTGTCCGTGAAGGGCAGGGCGGAGGTGTGTGCTACATACATTTTCCCTCTTGTCCTTTATCGATTGTCCGTACTTCCTCTCTGTGACGACCACAGGACACCGCTCGAGCGCGCGCTAACCTCCATTCTATGGAGGAGACGCGCGAATCGGGTCGACAGAGAAGTCTGTGCACAACGTCCGTGTCATGGGGGGCTGGGAATGCCACACTTGCTGAGCCACAAACGTGCCTCGAGGTTGGCTTTCCTACGCCGCGCTTTGACAGGTGGAGATCCGATTATTGAGGGGATTGTGAGGGCCGCCTTCCCTCGCCTTACCATCAGTCCCCCAAGCTCGCGGGTGGATCGCCGTCGTAAACCCCGGGTTCAATCGGTTTTCTTTCGCGAGTGTCGGTCGGCCTTGTTGGCTGTCCCTTGGTCCAGTGACCTTTCTCGGCCTAGAAAGGACTTCTATCGTTTGCTAGTGGAGGGGGTCGCGAAGGATCCACTACGTGAGGATCTCGACATGTCGGATGATGAGTTTCGCTCTCACTGGTCTTGGGCGCCAGCGGCGGATTACCTCAGTAACCCTGAGTTTTCGCTTACCTGGCGACTGGCTCGGAATCGGCTGCCTCTCAACGACATGGCCTTCATATGGGGCTTGGCGGACTTGCCAGACTGCGATCGGTGTGGCCTTGGTCTAGAGGAAACGGCTTCGCACGCCTTCTTCCATTGCCCCCGTGTCCGCCCCTTATGGGACCATGTCGGCGAGCTGACGGCTCGTCTCGCTCCCGAAAAGCTTGTGCCCATGGATCGTGCATACGCGTGTGACAATGTGTCGCCCCCGTATTCCGGGGTGAAACGGATGGTGTTTCTCATGCTGCTAGCCACGGCCCGAATGGTGATATGGACGACGCGAGAGGAGGAAGTCTTGCGGGGTAACCGTCTTTCTCATCAGGATCTGATCCGATTCTTTGAGCATCAGCTCAAGACGAAGATTAGAACTGATAGAAAACGCTTGCATTCGACAGTCTTCAGCGAAAGGTGGGTGACTGAGGCGAGCTTGGTTCGTGTGAACGGGGCTAGCCTTGATTTTCTGTTTTAGGTCAAGCCTACGTTACATCGGGGTGGCTTCCTGTGGTGCCCTCCCTTTGGTTAGGTTAGACAAGCCTTGGTGTACCTAGTTAATGCGAGTAAGTGTTGTTCCCGGCCTGCCCCCGGCCACATCTTTAGTTATGATCCAGCCTGAGATTCCCAACCTCCCCAGTTTGTTTTTTGATCCCCCACTTTCTATCTCGACTGGGTCAGCTTTATACTTCCACATGCCCGTATGATTTTTTATCACCTTTCCCACTCCCTTAGCGAGAGAGCTGCTTGATTTTGTTCCAATGGGCAGAATACAGTGGTCTCCCTGCATTTTGAGGGTTGGAAGGGCCCTACTAACATCAGTTAACGTTTTATTTTCATTTATGTTAATATTTTAGTTTGTTATTGGGTTCACATCCCACCCCATCTCATTTTTTTCATCTTAGAATTTTTTGTACATATGTGTTAGGATCATTATGACATGGGGCGCGTTTTGTAGGTCTCCCTAGAGTGGATGTGGTATTATGGTGCAAGGAGGATTGATTGATGACGGACGAGTTCTTATGGTGAATGAGTAAATTGTAATGTCTGAATGGGTCGTGAATCAAATTAGCTAGGTATAAGATAGTTAGTGAAGACCAGCCCTACCCCCTCCCCCTTTTCGGCCTTGTGCCACAATTTTGTATTTTTTACAAAATAAATCCCGGTTATACCAACGGCTTTCCTTATTTCATTCTCCAATTCACTCTCGTGTAGTCATGTGTGACGTCATGAGATGCGGTGCGATTTTCGCTTCTAGCGTCTTATATGCGCGTGTTCATCGTTGCTTAGTGATCCACTATGTAAACATAACAATGACAGACTATATCATCACTGTCGTGTCCATATATTGTTTGATATGTTTGTATTTACATCTTTGATAATGGCTTGAGTAAGCCGAAAGCTTAGATTTTATTAAAAAATAATGGATAAATATTGTGAATTTCTTTTTTCGGTAAATGATAATGTTACCAAACTTATCAGAAGATACGATATATATATATATATATATTTAGGGTTAGGGTTTTTTGATAATTGTAATTGTTAATCCGAGTTCAGCATGTACATTTATACGGAAATATGATGATTTCGAAAAAATTTTATAGATATTTAGCTCGGGGATTGAAAAGCAAATTTACCGCAAGTACACACTCAGAATAATCAAAGAATTCATCACCAAAGCTTTCAAATTTAACAGAAACACTCTCCTCAACTATGTAACTAAAAAGAAGAATTCCAGAATCCCCATTTTAATCATAACATCCAGAAACTTTCCTGTACATTAACTAAAGATTTCCAACTTAGACAATACTATTAGTAATTTATTTATCGATAACCCTCTACACGCGATGCGACGGTCCCCTCCCAACCTCTTCAAACCTTTTAACATCATCAAAAATCTGCAACACATTACCGCATCCAAGGGAATGTCACCTGCAACAAAACCCAGTGGCTGGTCTGCAAATACATCATCACTTGCAACATTTACATCCTCGGTATTCAAGTAGCATTCAGACCACCTGCTTTAAGCTGCGACAGTTCCAATCTCGTAAACTTACTTTTCTGCTACAAATGTGAGAGAAGGGGAATTATGTGGGATAAACCGGAACAGAGTTTCGTTTACGGTTCAGTAACCACAAGAAAAGAATCTGGGACAACAACAACAAATACCGGTCTCTGTACACTTCAACCGACCTGGTCCATAGCATCGACGATGTTGGGTGCGTGCTTTTAGCGTTAGCCGGGAAGATAGATGCAGATCGGAGTTGAAGTATATCCTAAAAGTACAGAGAGGAACAAAACAGAGATTTGGGTTTACTCAGAGAATATAATTTCCACAAGGAAACCCATTATCAGCAACACCATTCCTCGGATGAGTAGGCCGATCACCCACATTGTAACTCCAAATTTTAACAGCCTACCTACTATATTTTTAACAGCCATCTCCTACCTACTATATTTTTATGTTCTGCCGCCTATGATTTCCCTCATTGCGCACTATTCTGTAATGGGAGTATTTTCATGTACACTGAGGGCTACTTTCCGATTACCCTCTTCTTTGGTTCTATAACAATAGTTCCTTTACTTATAAGCTTATGTAAGGAGTGTGGAAGGTTAGTGTAGATGCATATTAATCTTGTATATGTATATCTTTATGTATATTGAGATTCATAAGTTTGTGAGGTGGCTTGTATATATTTACACCCGCTATGCGCATCTATTCATGTATACCTTTTTTCCTTTCTGTTTTTTTTTTCATCCTCCCATTTTTTAACCACAGAATATCCCAAAGTTTTATTCTTTTATTTGCTCCTTCCCTTTTTTCTTTTCTTTTATTTCTTTTGATTAAATTTTATTACTATATATTCCCTTGTTCCTTCGCCCTTCTTTGCTTCGACAGATGCGCTTTCGAAAATGGACAAGATTTTCTGGAATTGACAATTTTCGGCTACACTGGCTACACGCGAGACGTATTCCCCACTTCGCAACCTATAACACTCTGCATCTATGTTTACAACATTATTCCCCCACTCCTGCTACTACTAATAATAGACAGCTCTAACGCTCTTACATCGATCAAAATTTTAATTTTATTTTCATAAAAAATCTCGCACAACGAGGAATCAGACAGAGATCGGTTTTTTGCTAATAATATGATTTCCACCAGAAATATAGTGCCTACAAAAACATCCCTCGGCGAGTATTTCTCATTTCTCTCTTGATTTCTCGGTATCTTGATGAAGGACACAGGCGTGTCCGAAAATTCCGGACTTAAAACCTTTTTTCCGTGCTTCATTTCTGTCATATGGCGAATAATTAATATTTAATAAAAGTTTTTTTCGTACTGATCATATTGGTACCCTTTCGTTTGTCCTTGTTCCATTAACTAACCTATCTATTTTACACACACACACACACACACACACACACACACACACACATAACAGAAGTATGGGAACGTGCTTGTAAGTGGCAAATATTTCTTTCTAGTTTTTAATAGCCAGTTGAGGTGAGCATGAAGCGTACGTGGAGTTACCTAAAGCAGCCTTTATGGTAAGGGGAGAAACACACCAACGGTGTACGACAGAGAATGCATATTATAAATCGGCATGCTGTTATTCTTTTATTATCTCACTTTTTTTTGCTGAGGCCTGAATTGCGTGGACGCACTCGACTTCTCTGACAATTAAACGAATCCACCTTCCCACGTATTGGTTTTGTGTTGCAACTGAATATGGTTACGTGGTCAACATGTAAGTGCGAATGCAGCTATGGTGGGGTTTAAGTGATAAGGGAGCATCTGGTGAGCAAGACAACCTTTAATGAAATGTCTTAGTAATGGCAAGTGGATACTACGACGACATTTAAATAAACCGGATTCTAAAATGAAGGAACCTACGATGCAGCCGACATAAAGATGTGTACATTGCGTTTAAATGTGACCGACCATGGGCTATAGGACCTCCGCGTAGGTAATATTTTTAGCTTTGTTTGTTGGAGAGTAAACGATTTTCTTACTCCCGACTCGGGAACAGCCTACGTAAAGCTGTCCATGGGCGAAACACTGCTCACCTAAATGCAGACCGGCGACGCTGAGCGTCTGTCCTTGCGATTTGGCCATTGTTGTTCTCCGTACCCTAAGGCTTTCTGAAGCTCTGGCAGATGCAATAGATCTGGAATTCCTCAAACGACGATTAGCGGTCTGCACTGGACTTTCTAAAGCTCTGACAGACGCAGTAGCGCTGGCATTTCTTAAACGACGAATAGCGGTTTGTTGAGGTCGTTCCGAAACTCTGGAAGGTGCCGTAGCCCTAGACGACGCGAAGTGGTTTGTTCAGGGCTTTCTAAAGCTCTAGATCATGCTGTAGCACTGGCATTCCTTAAACGCCGAAGGATTATCTATGTTGGGGACACGGAAGCCCTGGCCCTAGAAACGCGTATTGTGTCCTGTGAATTCTGTACTAAACGCTCTTCAGTTGAAAGTCTAGCGCGTCGTGATGACATAACGGATGCTACTGAGGCCAGCCTTTCAGTCCGTTCAGCGGTACTTTCTGTGGAGATGCGGGCAGCAGGGCGTGAGGCTATCTGAGAAAGGCGCAACGAAGTTTGCTCTGTGGTTTCAGTTGCCCTTGCTGCTCTTGTAGCGGAGGCAGCAGCCGTGCGCCGTCCAAAAAGTTTTCTTCTCTTAGGCGGCATTTTAACCAATTTTAGAAAGGCAAACGTAATAAAAGGTTTCTAGTTTTTTTGAGTGCAACAAAATACGTGTCGTCTAAACGTAGGCAGGTTAGAGGGATCCCAAAAATGTATGTAACTGTATCAAAAGGGGATCAAAGAAAAAAAAAGTGAAGTTTAAAAAATTTCAACTAAAGCTAAAACGGTTTGGGAAGAAGAAAAAAAATAGTTTGGATACGCAATCAACAACTTGCAGTTTCTGTAAGAAGCGAATGAAGTGAGCCAAGTGCAGTAACTGTGTCGAATTTGGTTGAAACGGTTGAAAAATGTAGGAGATCCGATCAAACATATAAACACACACATACACACATTCTGCCTTTTATATATGTATAGATATATATTTTATATGTCAAGAACAGTATTGGGTAAATTGTATAACGAAGTAGAAAAAGTTTACTCGTGACGCGTTTCGTCCTTCAGGACTTCATCGGGCTACCAACATAACAAAACTACTTCTCCGATGAAGTCCTGATTCCACTTTGTCATACAATTTCCCCTATATATATATATATATATATATATATATATATATATGAAGAAATATAGTCTTAAGGTGTGCTATATTTATGGGATAATGTGCTCAATATCAATATATATGACGATTGCATATAGCATGAAACAGACTGTCGCCTCTAAGTGTTGACTTCTATGTTCACTTTTATATATATATATATATATATATATATATATATAGAGAGAGAGAGAGAGAGAGAGACCGACTGAATTGAAAGAAAAACACTTGATTACTGCAAAGTACATAAAAAGAAAAATCTTGATTGCTGGTTTAATTTACTTTATCGGAACTGTGAATGGAACAGAGAGATGCTAAAAAGATCCGACCATCAGTGATGTTGACAACTTCATATTACTTAACTTCGTGTGACACTATTTAGCGTAAGCGTGAAAATTAAAAGCGAGAAATACTTAAGGCGAGAAGAAGCTATCACGAAAGACATACTGAGCGATGTTAATTTTTTTTTAACAAAGAAAAGTGCTAAAGATTTTATTTTCATTTGCGAAAAAAAGTTTTTTTTTTTTCGCAGAAGATAGGAAATTCGTAAGATCTCGGATCTGTCGGAATTAATTTATGCTATGACGCGGCGAATAAAAGATAGCAATATGCCCATGGCAATAATGAAAATTTCAGATTGGTCAAGTGGCCTACAAAACAGAATGCTGGAAGATAATCGTAATCAGGTCACGCACCGACCGAAAAAGATCAGCTGAGGCCACCCCAGAGAAAAAGGAAGGAAGGAAGGGAGAGAAAGGGAAAGAATAAACCATTAACTATCTTTTGGAGATATCATTTGGCTTTGGAGAGACACCTGTTTTATATCCAGACCTGGACATGATAAAAGTTTGTTGCCGGGACAGATCGCTGGTGACAGGGTGCAAAGACGTCCAGTTGACCACCCATTTGACGCTTGGCGAAAATCTTGTTGATAAATTCCAGATGACATTCAGTTAAGATAGAGATTAAGGACCACACTACGAGTCGTAGGGGTCTGGTCAAGGAAAAAGAAGAAGAAAAGAAAAAAAGGAAGATAATTTTTTTCCTTTGAGCGATAATTTTAAACTGAGGCCAGACCAGCCACACCCACGCTGCTGAGCGTTCATTGGCTGAGTGGTGGCGTGAGCGATGGGCGAAGGTAAACATATGAGAAGGAGGGGAGGCCTGTTGACGCCTCTGAGGGGATTGGTGTAAGATACCACTATGAGAAAGAAGGGAAACCTGTTGACGCCCTCTGAGGGGATTGGTGTGAGATACCAATATGAGAAAGGAAGAATTTGGGAGAACGAACCCCTCTAAAGCAGAAAGTAATGGTCTTCCAAAAATGGAAAGTGATAAATTTTCCTGTCCGAAAACAAAGAAAATCCTTATTGTGGATTTAGAATTATCGAGGAACCCAAACCACAACAGGCCCACACCCGGTTTGGGTCGGCGTCCATATAAACGGAGTAGACAGTGGCAGAGTTCGGCAGAGTTCCGAGGAGACGCAGACCGCAGACAGAGTTGAGCTGTGAGCTCTGAGACCAGCCTCGCAGGAAGCTGACTGAAAGATATCAACGCCTTCCGACTTAGACTTCTAACCAAAAACAATTTATTTTTGAAGAACGACTTAGACAAGTTTTACAAATATCGCCTGAAATACAAAAAAACAGTTATTGAAAAACAACTTAAGATATTAAGACTCACCTAACAAACGCAAAGTGTCACGTATCCATATTAGCGGTTTGGGAGAAAGAAGCAGTCCTGTATTCGGAAACCAGATATAAAAATATTTGTTATTCTTTTTTTAACACATTTGAACTTTTCGAGTTGTTACTTTATTTTCTTTTACATATACTTGTGCGATGTCACCTTTGCTCGAATTCGGCTTGCATTACGGCCCGGTGACTGATTGATTTCGTCTACCTAAGATCAAATCACAACGTGGGTAGGTTAGACTAGAAATCAAAGCAGTTACTTCGGTAACCAGACGTTGGAGGCGAGCTGGGAACGATAAAGCTGATACTGAATCTAACCAGATTCCCATCCGAATCAGCAAAGGGTTAGAACGTCACATTTGGCGCCGCAACCAATACCAAGTCACATTGGTCGTCACAGGATAGCACGGGGGCAGAGAGGCCGGGTTGACGTCACATTCGAAATAGTTTAGAAAAAGAAACATAACGAGATTTGTAATTGAATGTTTCGTATGGTGCATCACAAAACTATAACCATACCATCATTATTGATATATCAATATTGATACTGTTTATCCAGTAAGCTTACCAGTTAAGAATGCAGTTTGAAATAAGATGCAATCAAGAATCTGGAATAATGATTTTATTCGAAGTAAAGATATAAAAACAGAATCTTATCTGCCTTTGTAACCATTTTAACCGGGATGATCAATGTTAATCTAGTTTAAAATTAAATCATTTTTGAACTCAACTTAGAAATCTAAATATATAGAAATTAATTGTTCTTATTAAAAGAATGTCTTTTCGTACATATCCCACCCCTGGCCGATTTCAAGAAAAATAAAAACGATGAATTAGTTTATAAATATAATAAATGATACAAATATAGAGTTTTTCTTTTGTTCAGGGATAATTTTTATTTTCTTAAATTAAGCTCCATTACATTGATTGATTGATTCGTTTTCCACGGCTTTTGCAGGTTATTTAAAGTCATAAAATAATTTTAGATCGTAAGAATTCTTTTTTTGGCAGGGAGAATAATAATGATTTAGCAATACATATCTTAATAATTAACGCATAGCTGAGGGGAGAAAAACTGGATTCATAGCTTTCCCAAGGTTATTTGAGCGTAAGTGAACGGGAATTGGGATTTGGATCGCGATTAACAATTCCGAGCCATTATCCATTACACCACCCGCACATCTAAGCTCTCGGGGTCTGCTATTTCCAGACGGTCGCTCATCAGCCTAATGACCAAGATCGTCGTTGCATAACTTCGGTGATCGTACATGAAACCGGTGTTTCAACGTGATGTGGCCGTAAGCAAATTTCTATTACAAACCCACTCCAAAGTGGAGCATACATTCACCCCATTCACTAAATAATCTACACAAAGGGACAAATATGTGATAACGCAAAGTCGGTAATTGCAGGGTAGTTTACATACAATTCAAAACTTCTGTTACATTACATTATGTTGCAAGTGCAATTTTTTGGCGGTAAAACCAACGGATAAATAACATCTGAATTTTAGATTATACCTCTTTTTTTATAAAAGTATTTACAATCATTTATTTGCTTGTGTGAGATTTTATCATGCAACTCGAGGATTGTTATTGAGTGGTGTGAACACAACGACGTTGAAAATTGTGAAAATAGAGCTCACAGAACGAGCAAAAATGAAATTGAACATTGACAAAATAAGAACAATAAAAAATGGGATAAAGAATATCACAAAAAGAGATCCGAGTAAAATTTAAAAGGGTTATTATTATTATTATAGTAATAAAAGGGGATTGACTTGCAAGAAAATATTTGAAAAGGACAGGTGATGCGAATATAAAAAGACAGGTGATGCGAATATAAACGGAAAGAAAAGATATATAATATTGAGAACATTGCCTAAAAGCATTAAAACAACCAAACTACTATCTTTAATCAAACACAAAGCATCTTTCTGGGAGTACTTATTGCTTCCTTCTCCTCTGGAGAAGGTGTTTACTTTGCATACCATTGTGAATTCATTAGAGCAGACCAACGTCCTCTGAAATTGGTGTTTTGTGTCAAATAGGATTTATTCCAATATCAAAGTTGTGTATATTCCACGCATAACATAAAAATATTTACAACACCCAAGTAATTCAGGGAATCATCTAGGGTTATCTAGGGATATATATGCTTTCACTATTGAACTGTATTAGTTAACTCTTCTTGCTTTATCGTTCTTCTCAGGACTTTAGCTTTTTAGATAAAATATCTGACAGTATAGAAATGGCTCTCTTTTATATTCTTCTGCAAATATCTTCTTTTTTGGCGAATTCAATGCTTATTATGTCAAGAGTCTTTATTCTAATACCACTGATCTCGCTGGTAGCCAGAATTTTTCAGTTGCTCAATTTCAAATAGTAAATTTTCCTACTCGTTTTCCTAATAATTCTGACGGACAGGCTTATTTACTTGATCTGTCCTATACTTCCTCTCCCGACTTGCAACACTGCCATCTTGGCAATTCGGACCACGCTATAGGATTTTTGTGGGTATTTCTTTCCACTTGTCTATTCACAAAACATCATTTTGTTACTAACGCACTTATTCACTGATTCATTTCGTAATTGTCTTTGCGACAATCCTTGGAATTAAATTTTAAATCTTCCCATTGAAGATTATACTACAGAGATTTCATCTTGAGTGAAAGCTGTAATCGATGTTTTCGTTCCGTTGTAGAGAAATAAAGTGAAACCACCTTGGTTCACTCCTGTCTGCCCAGCCGCTAGAGTCTACAGGAATCAATTTTCCCGGCTATACTAGCGCGATAATTCGGATCATAACAGACGCTTCTTTGTATCCGCTTATAATAGTTGTAAACGTGTCCTCAACGAAGCTAAATCGTTATTCGCTGATAGCCTCTCATAAGTTTGGTTCTCACGATTACTGGTGGCTATGTAATAGTGTTAACCAATTCCTCCTCTCTCTAATGAGTTTGAAGTTTTGTTATCTATTGCCGTTAAGGCAGAATGCTTTTCTCATAAGTTCTTTTCCAACCACTCTCGACTCATTAGCAGTATCTAAAACTGAATCTATACTGTGTAATATGCATAAAACATCGTCCATGGTTTCTGTTATCATCATCAAACTAGATCCTCACAAAGCATGTGGATTTGTCGATATCACTGCAATTGTCCTAAAGAAATGGGCTCCTGAACTGGCTTCTGTTCACTCTAAGCTATACAACAAATGCATTGTTCTTTCACTTGTTGGAAATACTCTTCTGTAGTTCTTGACTGAACACTGAACCTTCTGATCCCTCGAATTAGTGTTCTATTAGTTTTCTGCCGCTTTTTAACAACGTACTAGAGGCCCTAATCAACTCCGAATTGTTTTAGCATCTCATTTCACACGACCTCCTTTCAGACAAACAATATGTGTTGTCGGTTATTACTAAAAGTGTATGCCAGACTTTAGATAAGAACGACGAAACTATGGCTGTGGCTTCAGATATCGCGAAGTAGTATGACAATGTTTGGCATGCCAGTCTTCTTTACAAGAACCATTTTGCCAACCTCCAGGAGAGCAACTCGTTGCGTCTTCCCTCATTTTTCCACTGACATGAAGTGGAAAACTTATATTGAATTAACGGTTAGGTCTACTGCTAGAAAAATTAATTCACTGTAACCCGCGAGACAATTTTTCTCGCCAGAATTTACTTCCCAGAAAAAATCACATTCAGTATTTTTTAAACCATATACAAATCAAGTAAACTAATTTTAGGAAGAATTCGCGCCTATGAATTAAGCATATCTGCTAGCAAATTTTATTCAAACTTTTTTGTTAACACTACAAATTATAGACCTAAAATCTGTTAGGTCAATGAAAACATTACGTAGTGCTTTTGTTTGATATGATTATGCACATGCTGATCCCAAACCATTTGAGGTTTGTTAAGGTTCATTTATACATTCATTTATTTCCATAAAGCCGAGTATAACGTAAATTATTATACTTCAAAAATGTCAAAATCTTGCAAATTTTAAGCGATGCTGAAAAGATCTCGGCTCAGCTCATTTCCAAACACCAGATTTTTTTTTTTTTTGGTGGGTGTCTCCCTTCTTGGTTGGATCAAGAAGATAAATACCTAATAAAAACTTCCAATATGAAATCTTGTTTTCAAATGATGATTATTGTTATCGAATAATAATCTGCTGCCATTATATATTGCGTACGTGTTTACCGACACATCGTCTACCATGTTCCAGTATTTTTTCATAAAATGATCTTTTCCATACTAATTCTTCTTCTTTTGCATACCTCTCTTTCACACTGTCCTCTCTCTCTCTCTCTCTCTCTCTCTCTCTCTCTCTCTCTCTCTCTCTCTCTCTCTCTCTCTCACTCTGCCACCGGGGACTCGGACTATGAATTGGTTTATGAACCAGCTATTGCCAGGAAGAGAAGCTGTGAACATTAGATACAACTGAGGATGGTGCCAAATGCGTTCAAGTCTGTCCCACCCTCGATCCAGCCTACCCAACTCAGAATACGCTTCCAGGCAAAAACTAGGAATCGGCTGAAGTCCGAATGGCACCAGACATCCGCTTTCGTCTTCACAAAATTTATGTTTATACACATACATTTCTATACATGTGTATGCGTGTATTCACTTAAGTGTGTACTTCCATGCCGCTAAAAGGTTTCCTTGAATGAATATACCAATAATTTTTTTAAAGTTTCTTCGAGTGCATTCCTAATATATATATATATATATATATATATATATATATATATATATAAACAAACTTTGCCGGTAGATCGACGCTTCTGATACAGACATATATGAAAGGTAAGGTTGGTCATATGTTAATGAATTTTTCCGCACTTAGATAAAACACACACGCAAATATATATATATATATATATATATATATATATATATATATATATATATATATATATATAGTTTTAAGGTGTGCTATATTTATGGGATATCAGAGATAGAGCGTATGTAAATATAAATATAAAAGTGAACATTGAAGTCAAAACTCAGAGGCGACAGGCTCTTTCGTCAGGCCGCCTGACGATTGCGTCCAACATGAAACTGCCTGTCGCCTCTGAGTGTTGACTTAAATGTTCACTTTTATATATATATATATATATATATATATATATATATATATATATATATACTTGTGTATTTAGGCAGCAATCCTTCTTTCATGCACATTGCATTGAGTAAGGTGCTTCGATTTAGTTTTTATACAATTTCTCATGTGATCTAATTTTTTTTTCTTTTCGGATGTTAAATTTTGTAAAAATTTCATAAAAACAATCAAATATGACAAGTATTATTTACGACTTTAAATGTTCAATCAAAATTCGTAAATAATTATATAGGCCATACTACAACACGAAGGCTCACACTAGACCTTTCTGACCATAGCTGAATTAATTCTTATTTAAATACCGGGCCCTATTCGTAACATACTTGTTTAAACACAAGTATAATAGCATCATCTACATGCAAAAAAGGCTAAAAATTAATGAAAGCCTAATTAATAAATCAAAAAACCAACACTCAATAATATCAACTATGAACGTAAACACAATATCTTGACTGTGTTTTGAAAATGAAAACATTATATAAATACATACATAGAACAATCTATTTCTTGTTAACAGTTAATAAACTTCAACCTTGAAAATGGATAATGTATAGGTGAAAGCGCCCGGATAAAAAGAAAAATTGAGCTGTTTTTACATAATTTATCATCCGAAAAGCAAAAAATTATTAGATCACATGAGAAATTGTATAAAAAATTAAATCAAAGTACCTTGTCTGTCGTATTCAATGGAATGTGCATATATATATATATATATATATATATTACAATAAACGTGCAATCAATTTACAAATACATGAATTATTCATACAAAACTAATGCAAAGGTTAATGATTTAAATGGCAAGACATCCATATATATATATATACATATAAATATAAATAACTAGACTCGTTTCGGAAAACCCTCGAATTTTTGATTTGTTAATCAAATCAATTTCGAGGGAAAAAAAGGTTTTAAAAAAAGAAAGAGCTACAAACATAAACTTCTGCCGACAAAAAATCGCACAGATGCAGGTCTGAAGCCCAAAGAAAAAACCCCGATACGAGTAACAACTAACTAACAAAAGAGCTCAATACAATCGTAGAGCAAACCTAGATACACCTAGTGAGCCAGACAAACCTACCTAGGTTTCACCTAAACGGATCGTCAGGAAAAAGCGTGGCCACTTTCCTGACGATCCGTTTAAATGAAACGTAAAAGGTTTGTCTACTCACTAAATATATATATATATATATATATATATGTGTGTGTGTGTGTGTGTGTGTGTGTGTGTGCGTGTCTGTGGACGAGTAGTGAGAACTTTCGCTTTCTGACGATGAAACCCGGATTCGAATCTCACGATGGTCGCTTTGTCAGGAAGGAGACTTCCTGATGTTATCGGAATGGATCGAGGTCGATCCCAGCGTGCAGCACCTTTGGTAAGTGCCTGAAAACCATACCACGGGTTGACCCAAGCCTTGTGAGTGAAATTGGGTTGACAGAACTCTTGAGGGTCGTCGATAGCACGAAGTCACAAGTCATCGTGTCCGAGGGCTTGAGCGTACTGGCTTTGTTCAAATTGTTGATCACGCTAGATAACACATTCTCCCCCAGAAACTCAGCATAGTTGCAGTATAAACTACAGTTGGGCAAACACAAATGTGCCCGAGCGAGCGTCTGCAATAGGGATTGGCTGTCTGCCCTAGTAGACAGGTATTCTCGAATACGAATGGCCATCTATTACATATATATATATATATATATATATATATATATATATCGACAGCCATAAACACAAGGGGGAGATTTTCAATATAAGTTAGACATTATGTTCATATTTGTGTTTTCCAATAGATAGACAGGGCGAGAAAGACAGTGAGAACGAGATATGGGTGGAGAGGGGAGAAGGCAAGAGAGTATACATGCAGATATTATTAGCTCTACCCTACTTACTTTTTTTAAAACTTCCTTGCTGACAGTATAAAAAGTTTTGTCCCGGTTAAAAATATTTTTTCCTTTTTTTCTCTTATATTGCTCATTTCTTTTGATCAAATCTCAAACAATTCAATTTTGACGCAATTCCATTGACAATTATACTATACGAGCATCTGTAATCCATTGATTATAACCCAAGTTTATTTGCTATAATGCTTATTCTGTGCGATACCACTATGTAAAGGGACAAACAATGCTGAATTTCCTATTAGGATATTTTAAATGAGAAATTACCATTTATATGCTTCGTTATCCGAACCAACTTGTGCATCCATTTTCGCATGTTTGTCTTCGTACTTGGTAATCAAACAGTCTCATCTTTAAGTAATAATCGTTAGCGTTTTCAACAATAAACCATTCTATTCAAATGATGAACAAAGTATGTATCGATACATTAGATACGATCACTTTTTCATTTCCATTTGACCTGGTGACCATTAAGGTAACATGTTAAGTTAAAGACAGTTGCACATTGGAGAAAGGTTAACTTGAGCTCAACGATGTTCATACTTACTTACCCTAACTTCTGGAACAAGAAAAAAAAACCAGCATGCCCAAGAGGCATTGAGAACTTTGTTTCATTACAGTTTATATATATATATATATATATATATATATATATATATATATATATATATATATATATAATAAAAGATGGAGATATAAACGGTCTATGGTAGAAAAGTTTTTGTATGCTTCTTCATTAATTACATGTGAACACGCACCTACCTAAAATAGACACCAACTACGATCTTTTAAATTCCATAAGTATTTCATTATTATACATGTCCAAATGAACAGTTTACTGATGAATATCAACAAACAGCTATTGGAAAGGGCGTAAACACTATCGGATATTAATTATAAAGATACACATGAGAGCGAAATGAAACTATTATCATTATTCAAGCATTTGTAATTTTCTGTTACAAATAAACATCGCAATAACAAAATTCATTCGATTTTCTTATTTTAATATTGATTATGTTTTCCTAGATTAAGAAAATCTACAATGTATGATGTATATTACTTTTATTTTTAACCAAGAACAGACTTGTTGCTTTTGTCGTGTTCATTTTAAAGATCTATCTTAAATACAGTCAGTAAGTTGTAAGAAGACATAATGTATAGTTGTCGTTAGGAGGAAAATCCCAAGATGTGAGCTACAAATTATAGATGTCAAAATCAAACAAGTACAATAATTTAAATATCTGGAAAGTTAAAATGTGACACCGAAATCCGAAGCTGCATTGGGAGACCTCCACAAGCTGAACAAAGTAATAATAAATAGAAAAATGGTTGAAAATACAAAAAAGAGTGCTGGACTGCTGTATAATATCTAATCTCCTATGTGGTAATGAATACTGGATAACTGAGGTCACGGAGATGTGGTCCTACAGAAGGATGCTAAAAATACCATGGATAGAGCATGTGAGCAACGAGGAAATTTTAAAGAAAATGAAAAAAAATGTCAGTTATACTTAAAATCAGAAAGAAGACATGATGAATTTGATACACACAAGACCTATTGAAAGCAAGAAGGAAACAGCAAGTAATCTACATAGCAAGCACGTGGAAATAGATTTCAGATTAAGGACTGTGAAAGATAGTAAAAAGGCAAATATTGCTAAGAGCTACAAAGGACAGGAAATTGTGAAGGACCATGATCGTCCACGTCCTAAAGAGACACGACAGATAAAAGAAAGATAAAACTCTTATTAATCATTTTACGTCCACCACAATCTTAATGGGTCATTTTCCAATAGACATGGGCATTTAGTTCGCTTAAAAGAACCTAACGCCTCATATAAAAATGAAGGTGGGCTTGACTACAGGAGATGATCACCGGTTAATAAGGAAGAAGATGCTTGCTAAGCGTTGGTTCTTGAAATGACGTTATCGCATGGACACATGGACACTTGAAAGTTTATTACCCAGTACCTACTCTCCTATGTCCGTACGTGAATGTGAGAAAGAAGAAAGAACGAGTTCGTCCTAATATTTATTTATATATGAGCGTATGTCTGTCTTTATTTTAGGAAAAAATGTATAGACGCATGCGTAAATGGGCTTTTATATTACCTTTTAGATTGACCTGAAATGGCAACCCACGTTTTGTGACGTCCAAAGTGAGGGGTGGGTGCAGTTAAGAAATTCAATTAATTCTATGTGAAGAAAACAAGTATACGCATTTATTTATTAAAAGCATAAGTACATGAGTTTCAAATAAAAGTAAGTAAAATGTTCAAGAAAGAATGTGTCGACATTTCGGCGGTAGTGGATTTACGATGAAGCAAGGGTTTAATAAGATGTGGCAATAAAGACGGCATATATATATATATATATATATATATATAGATAGATAGATAGATAGATAGAGAGAGAGAGAGAGAGAGAGAAAGAAAGAAAGAAAGAAAGAAAGAAAGAAAGAAAGAAAGAAAGAATATGAGTATACAAGAAAGTGGGGAAGTTCGGGCAAACGAATACAGATAAGAAAATGTGGAGAAAAGGGTAGTGAAATAAATATGAAGGAAGAAAGAAGAGTAGTTAATGAAAAAGACAACAAGGAAGAAATAAAGAAAGAAATTGAAGAAGAAATGAAAGAGAAGACAAAAAGAAAGAAAACAATGACATTGAATATTAAAATATCTATTGTTCTACTAGTATGTACGATCGTTTCGCTCATTCTATAAATAAAAATACATGCCACTTTCTTCTGTCTTTTTTCCAGTGGTCGTGTTAAAGCGGATATATAAACTTCAATGAGTCCTGACGTTATGTGAACACCCAACTTACAGATAGCCAGCAAATGAGATATCCATTAGGCTATTGCTTTGCTGTCTGAATATAATGTTTAACTTAATTTAAAAACACTAAGTTAGGCGTTAATGCATGTAATTTCTTTAATTATATTTATCTGAGAGTTTTACTCGTTTAAAAATCTAAATTTAACATTCTATTTGAATTCATTCTTAAATTAAATTCGTCATTTTAAAGTTTAAAATCTACCACCGCTTTGATTATTAATGTTCTATATGAAATAAATTGGCTGTTTTTTTTTTCAACAAATAGTTCATTTCGTTTACGATTTCACAGAAAATTGTAATAACATTCTTTTCATTTTCATCCACATGAATAGAACCTTTGGATAAAGTAAGTTTGTCCTATCCGTAGCCTCCATTCAGCCATGAACATTGTAACATTGTATATATCGTACATAAACTAACGAGACAGACGATAAACGCTAACAAAAATAAGGTGTGTGTGTGTGTGTGTGTGTGTGTGCGCGCGCGCGCACACACACAAACGCGCGTTGACGACAAAATAACAATAAAAGGTAAAATTTAAAGCTGGTACAACTTTTGGTACAACTTTTGTACTTTATTGGTAGGAAAAGAAGATAGGTTTCATACTTTTAGATATCAACGATTCTATCAACGATGATAAGGAACAACTAACTCATATTGGTTCAATTTTATTCACAAGTCCAACGCTGTCGTATTTACTGTTTGGCCCAACTCAACGTTAGCCTTCGCTTACTGCTTTGGTCGCTACTAGTGATTTTACAGGATTTATGCCTGTAATGTAAGCACAGAAAATGGAATTGGCGAGTCGAGATCAAATTTCGTGCTATGTTTTCTCACTTTCACACAAATGCTTTTAGAAAAGTCATAAATCTGTTTCTTCTCCAATTCAGCTATGACTCAGACTGTGGCAACCAGTTTTGGGTTATCCCACTTCGTTAGGGATTGCTCTTTTCGTTCATAAAAAAGCAAACTCTCTATTTAACTCTTGATTCCACATGTAGTCGAACATAAAGGACGCTGTCAACGGGGCGCGTTCTCTTTGTTGGTCCTCTACTGATTTTTTTAACTCTATCACACAAGCACATACACACATGTGTTTATCACACACGCATGTTTCACACACACACAAACACAAACAAGCAAATTCTCATAGCTAGTTTCAATGTCTTTTCTTTTCATTTCAATTGTATACACATGCAAATTTTATTAATACATTTGTGACAGAGAGTCTGGGAAGCACACACACACACGTATATTTTTTTAGTGAAATTGGAGTAGATTTGAATAGCAAAATTAAATCAGAACATTCTGTTTACTGATGGGGAAATATGATCTAGGACAGAAGTTGTACCCATTGAATCTGGGTCATCAGTAGACAATGGAAATGGTCGAAATAATTTTTATCGATTAAAAATTGAAATAGAGCTGAGTAAGCTAAAAGGAACTTTGGAATTAACATGATTTTGGTTGAAGCAGCCAGATAATCGCGTGCGAAGTAGTAGGGCCGAGGGTCAGTTATAACCAGCCGGGTTTATCTATATAATCGTGTAGCCATGCTGAAAAAAGACAGACGGGAGAAAATTTTTGAATTGGCCCGGGCGAGCATTGGGAGGAGGAACGCCGCCATAACTTTTAGCCCCGCACAGAAATCTTTATCCCTCCATCGCAAGAGTCATATATCGTTCTGAGAAAATTTAACAACAAGATAATCACATACTCTCTCTCTCTCTCTCTCTCTCTCTCTCTCTCTCTCTCTCTCTCTCTCTCTCTCCAGTGTATGAGGTTTTGGTTTTTTTTTTACTTTTCTGTAACCCGTTTCTCTTTTCTACAATTCTTTTCTGCTATATAAAAGACATTAACGATTCAACTATTGAATCGGCTTTCTGCAGATATTAATTTTTTTTTTTTTTTTGCTGCATTCTATATTTCTTAGCGCAGACTCCCCAGCCGTGTATACATCTTCAGTCGACCGTGAATGGACGAACATCATTCTGCTTTCTAGATAAAACAAATCACAGGATTAAACCAGCGGACCGTTCGAATAATCTATGGATGCTTAGGGGACCTATGGCCACTCCCTTAAGTTCGGTTAGGACCGAGTAGACACCTCAACGCCGAATATAAGACGTCGGAAGTAGAGGGGCCGGGGCGAAAGTGTCAGACATTCATACAATTGTCGTTTGTTTTAAATTCATTGTTTTGTTTTTTTTCTTTTTCTTTTTTCTTTTTTTTTTTTTTGATTCACATGAGTCCACCAATTGTTTGCGGGACAAATGTTCCAGGAACCCCTGCATTATTTAGTATAAAGCGTCCACACACTCGTATCAATAGTGTAAAATACCATAAAGTGGTGACTCGAACATCATAAAATCCCGCAAAACAGTCTAAGAGAAGCAAAACTCAATTCCAAACTGAGGAGAAAGCAACGGCAATCCACTCCGCTATCTTTCCCAAGTAAGCATTCCAATTCACAGATAATAAAGAAAAGGAATCTTCGGACAGCCATGATCGCCTACATCATAAAGATAGGTGGTATAAAAAAACTGATTTTACGGCATACCAACTTCTGATTGGCCATCTCCTAGTGAGTGTTACGCTTGTGCCAACATGCACCTTTGTGTGAGTAAATGATTTTCCCAACTTAATCCGGGAGGAACGATGAACTACCACAACCTTGAAGCAATACAAGACATCATTTGTAACCGAGTGTCTCTTATTCTTCCTAATATTTATTCTACTGGTAGTAAAGTAAAAATTATTTACAGGATAGGAAAGAAAGAGATGACTAGAGCATATAAAAACATCTAAAGATTTTTACAGAGCTTCGTTCATCTAACAGATGTATGAAAACTTTATTTCTACCTATACGACGATTAATTATTAAAAAAGCCAAATAAAAAGAGTTATTTTGTTTTCAATGATATAAAAATATTCTCCCGGACTGTTTTGAAAATGATATTAACGAAAATCAAAATATCTACAAAATTAAGTGTATACTTTCTCGAGATCATGCATATATACACACATCTCTCTCTCTCTCTCTCTTTCTCTCTCTCTCTCTCGCTTTCTCTCTTTCTCTCTTTCTCTCTCGCTTTCTCTCTTCTCTCTCTTTATATATATATATATATATATAGAGAGAGAGAGAGAGAGAGAGCGCGTCTCACTTCACTTCACTTTAAGCGTCTCACTTCACATAGCCTTCAGTCAGATAAATAATGTATTTCGTTTCTCTAGATCAAATGCCGATGTTCTAACAATTATTACTAGATAAAAACGGCGAGGCTCAGGCTGTGCAGATATTTTGAAAGCGTTTGACAGGGTTTGGCATGCTGCCCTTCACAAGTGTCTCTGGCTAAATATTTGAATTAATCTAATCGTTCTTCAGAAATCGCCATTATAAAAGTGAAAAGGTAGCGACTCCCTTTTCCCATGAGAAAAAAATGATTATTTATGTTAAAAAATTCTGAATCCAATAAGTATTGATGAGTGTACGTGAAATAGTTTGGCCGTGCATAAGTGATCAAAGAAAATCTTCATAGAGAGGCGGAGTCAGAAGGCAGAGAGACAGCAAAAGAGGCAGTGATGGATGGCACCTTATTCGTTGCAGCTGAAATTTCCGAAGTGTCACCGGTTTGGAACGAAGAAATCATCGACAACCAGGATTCAGAAGGAATCTTCATTCCCTTTAATTTAATTCAACTGAAGTCTACTTCATTTTAAATAAATGCTAAAAGATTTAAATTTAACAAACTTGTAACAAACTACAAGTTTATCTGAGCTAAAAAAGGAACGAATGTCCTAACTACAACATTACATTTAGATTCAGCCGACCTTTTTTTATCTCTTTTGAATGAATGTCGATTGTTTGAGCTTATAAGTTTCTCCGATCTGAAAAGAACGAAATGTTCTGATTACATTATACTTTGATCCGGTGGATCCTCTTTTCTCTTTTGAACAATTGTCGGTTGCGATCACTTGTATTTGAATCATTTCTATCACTTCTCAAAGTGCAACAGATTAACTAAAAAAAATAAATAAAAATAATATCCATAAGCTCAAAAATCCTAAATATAGTCTTTGTTTTGAGTTTTGTTTAAAGCCATTGAGTGTGTCTTCCTGAATCTTATTTTCTGATATTTTTTATTCTACGAGGAAGTAATATTTGCAAACATGATATATTTACACTTAGCTCAACACAATAGTTAACTAAGTTTTGATGTGGAATTTTCACTGTGCAATATTCGATCTATTAGTTTAATAGTTTAGGTTAAGTGCATTGACAAGGAACTTCAAAAGTAAGTTGTATAAATAAAGTCGATTAGATTCCCAAGTCTCACATAAGTGAGAAATATTACGTTGAAAAGGAAATGTTGTAATTCTAAATTTTTGAAATGTAAACAGAATGAATACCAATAATATTTTGCATTAAATTGATATTTGACAAGCTTATTGAACAAACCTTCTATAAATTTATGAGATTACGCTATTAAGCGGTGTTCAATCCCAGGTAAAATTCCAGAATTTTGTAAGCTAATTTTCAAGGTGGCAATAGATTCTACATAACCTTACTCCTCCCATCTGACTGTACGCCACACTTATGTAATCTTAAATAATATCTATAATCTTAAATGTTTTTGTCTTGAACATCTAAAATGCAATGAGCGTATCCAAATCGATTTTCATACAAATTGCTTCCAATAATAACTTGATTTTTTACGATTACATATGCCGAATGAAAATTGCGTAACGGTCAGTCTATACTCAGCACCTGAAGATTGAGTTGTGCATGAAACTCCGAGTCGTGCTAGCGGTGATGGGTAATATATATATATATATATATATATATATATATATATATATATATGTATGTGTGTGTGTGTGATTATAAAAGATAATGTGTGTGTGATAGAGAGAGAGAGAGAGAAAGAGAGAGGGAAATAAAGAATGTATGTATGTATGTAAGTTGGTGTATTAAGGACAAAAACGAAATAATATATTTACAGTATTTTTCTTTACTCTGTTTCCCTCTCTTTATTTTTGTCGTCTCCTCCTCCTCCCTCCTTAATTCGCTTTACTTTCTTTATAACCTTTTCTCTCTTTTATTCCACTAACTCTCTCTTGCGACATTTTATTCTTTTTTTCTTTTTCGACAAACACATTTTCGGCTCCTCTTTCTTGTTTATTAAAATTTTCTTCTGTCTTTCTCTTCATGGAATATTATAATTGTTCAAATGTTTTTTCGCGATAAAACTTCATTTTCTTTCGAAAAGTAATGTTCTTCCAATATTTATTAACTCTATCTTCTTTTCCTTTACAATCCGTTTTCTTCTTTCCCTTCTCATTCTTCTATTATCGTCTCCACATCTTTTCTGTGAACCTCCCTTGAAGCTAGTACATACTGACGCCTCCTGGTGGCAAAATATAGCGATACTCAAATTAATGAACATTTAAGGTGAACACAAACATAACAAACTGACTAAAAAGGTGCATAAATATAAAGGACCAAGCAAAAAGGAATGAAAGACAAGTAAAATCAAGTGACAAGTGCACATTGCTGACGTCATTATCTGACCTTAGCACCTTAAAGTGTCATACTTACGCCAGATGACGTCTGAAAAGAGAAGAGACAAGCAAATTGGCATGCGCATGCATATATACGTGCATTCATACATACATATAAAAGTAGATGCATTTTTGTATTTGTATTTGTGTGTGTGTGCGCGCGCGTGTGCAAATGTTATTTGAGTAAATCTTTAAATTGTAAATACATTTAAATACATATGTTTTTATGCGAGAGAAAAACAGATGTGATAGAAAGAAAGTGGTTTTGATTATAAGTTTCTGAATTTTAAAAAATATTTTAAAAATATTTTAAAAAATATTCCAGCATATATACTTTTACTTACAGACACATACACTCACAAGTGCACACAGATAAGTTTGCAAGAATGTCATTGTTGAGGGGTCCACCCTTTTTTATACAAATGGACTCCAGTGTATACTTATACTACTGCAAGTGAATACCCGGAGAGCAAGACCGAAGAGTCGAGTCCAGAGTGACAGTAAAAGGTTGCAGGTAACCAGAAGAGTGAGGGGTGAGGTAACAGCGTTGTAGGAGTCACAGTGAGCGAGCACGTAGTCTCAGTAACAAGTCATACAGCGATACTCCAATACCAAAGACATATATTTTGCTACTAACCCGTATTCCTGGAACTACTAACCTGTTTTACCAGTTGGTATTATTACGTTAATACATTATTTGCATTCCTGGCGTTTGTTATTTATTGGTAACGGATTTCAATCCGGAATCCACAACAGTCATATATATATATATATATATATATATATATATATATATATATATATATATATATATATAATTTTTAACTTAACTTGCTTAACTTTGCTTAACTTATTCGAACATCAACTACTGTTATAAATGTATTTAAAACCCCCAAGTAAAACTCACAATAACATACATGGAATATCGGCAAATGTCGCTTCACTCTACTTAACGAGGAATGTTTTCAAACTCTCTTATTATTATCGCTCGACCTCCTCGTCACAGGCACTAAAACAAAAATAAAATAAAACCCACGATAAAATAGACCGAGATCGCATATTTTATCCCTTTTTTTCAAAGCTAAACGAACATATGTAAATACGCTTCATCTTGTTTTAAGCCAAAACCAAAACCTACCATAGCAAAACTTATACTTAGTAAAAATTTAAATTATAATTTATTGGGTTATCTCTCACTGTGAGTTACAACTTGCATGAAGCCAAAACCCGAATTCCTAATGATTCCATCCCCCGAATATGCTCACCAGGATCATTGTGTACCAGTCAACCCTATGGTCATAAGGTGACAGTCTTCTCTAACAATCCATGAAAGGGAAAACCTCCGACTGAGAGAGCTTGCTATTACTGTCCTACTTTTCTGGGGCTATGGAAAGCTAACTCACAGTTTAAATAGCGAGATGCACGATGCACTCCACATAAAAGCGCTACACCCACCCAACCCCTACAAAGCTCTACGATGACAGGAGCGGGGCGAATCCAATTAGTGGAATATGCCAGTGGAAACCACAATTCAAATCCTGCATGTAGGTGACCCATGTAAAATTTGTCTAGTTGCAGGTCTGAAAACTGCATCATTGAACAGCACACTAAGTAAATATTCAAAAAGCATAACTTGCCCCATAAAGAGAGATGCCTAGAAAGGTTGTCTTTCATTCATACCAGGTTGTTTATTACAATCAACGAGTATCTTTCACAACCACTCGTAGAAAACAAATGTAAACTCAGACCAAACTGAAACAATTTTTCAAATATGTCTGCCCGAGAAAATAAGTGAAACACAAACAATAAAGACCAGAACGCAGATTTGCCATAACTGAACTAAAAATTGACTAACTTGAAATTGACATGACCGATATGAAGGAGGCCCGCTTTCTAGACCAAGTCTAAACGAGTACAAAATAGTCTACATTAGTTGGGGAAGCAGCAAAAAGATGCCCCTCTCCAAATAGGCTTCATTGCAAGAAACGCCATTGCCTCTAACCCCTGCCGACATAACTACTAATGGAGAAACTCAACTTTTAAGCAGCGCCGCCTTTTAACAAATATTACAGCCATAGATGGTCATTGTTCCAGATAACATCGTAAGCTGGGACAAAGGCACAATAATGACATCGTCAAGAAACAAAGGTTCAACGATAATGGGAAGCACCTTCTCAACAACAACTGTGCATTACTAATATAATACTTTAGCGCCATTTTCGCTTTCTTTTCATTGTCCACTCTTTGGCAATATCCACTTCTACTCATTTTGTGTTATTGTTTTTATTGTTTTTTTGTTTTTTTTTTTTTGTTTTTGTTTTGTTTTTTTCTTATCGTGTTTCCTTTTCTTTTTGCTATTTTTAACTTTTGGAGGTTGGGAGCTCCGTGAGCCTTCTCATTTATCTTTATACTAATACTTTATGCATTTATACTCAGTTAGCATCAACCTTAAGTTGACCTGCCTTTCGTGCCAACGCTTTTTGCTTTTTTAGATCAAAGATTTAATTTCTTATCTGATAAAACTGAAGGACAAGAAATAGCAAACGACAAAAATATTTGGGAATGCTTAATAGTTCTTTCTCTAATTAATCAATCTCCAAAATGCTTTCCAACTATGTTTTATTTAATATATGTGTTGTGGTAGGATCCACCTAATTTGCATAGTGGAGTACCGACCATATAAATATGGTTGGTACCTGGAAGAGAGGAAGGAATCAAGAGATTCAACCAGAGACTCTGCCCGACTGCGACTCATTCAACACATTCTCCAGGAACGGTCTTACCAGGAATATACAAAAGACTATATGTAAATATTGTGTGCACTTTCTTGTTTCAATACATTTTGTTCTAAGTACATTTTGTGTTGCATTATTATTCCTTGCATTAGTCAAGTTTCAACAATGGCAACGAAGTAGAAAGAACTATACGAAAAAAAAAAGAATTGATAATTGATAGCCTTCAACATTTGGGACAAGTCATTGAAGAACCCAGGCTGAAGGAAAAAATTACTAATTAAAAGTCCAACATCTAATGGAACGGCGAAGGATTCTGAATTTCTGGATATTTAGAACTCGTTAAAGGACGACTAAGCTAAAGGAACGTTCACTCAGAAAAATTTGAAAGGTGTCGTAAACGAATAACGGTGATTCAAAAAATAAAAAAAATAAAATAAAAAAAAAACGGGCCGACTACAAAAACATGCATGGATTTAAAAGGCGCACAAATACATCGTGTCGACTTTGAAAGGTAACGAACTTTAAAAAAAAAAAAAATTTTTTTTTTGGTTGCTCAACAATATTTTACAAAGCAAGACATAAAATAAAAAAGTCGTAAGTTGTTTCGATTTTTCTGGTCAGATTATATTATATCCGTGGATACACAAATTAAAAGTATATTCTTTGTTGCATGAACACTATTAGCAAAAGATGGATGAATTATCCAAAGTCATATCTGAATTATTCAAATCCCAGCAGTTGAGTCAGCAACGTCAAAGTGAACAGTTTGCCTTATTAATAAGGGAACAACAGATAGCACAGCAAAAATATCAAGAAAAGCAAGAGGAAAGACTGGGAAAACAGGAAGAAATGCAGATCAAGGTTTTAGAAATTCAAAAGTTAACACTGGAGAAATTAAACAACAATCAGGCAAATGAAGGAAATTCTTCATATTCTAATAACATCATATTTAATTCGCTGGAAACTTTCAACTATGGGCCAGACGAAGAAAAAACGTTTGAAGCATACATTAAACGATATGAAGATATTTTCTATACAGACTGTGAAAACTGGTCGAATTCAAGAAAAGTCAGTCTATTACTAAGAAAGCTAGGTACAGCAGAACATAGCAAATGTGTAGATTTTATTCTACCGAGAAGAACGAATGAATTGGAATTCTCGGAAACAGTGAAATTGCTAAAGGAGTTGTTTGGAGCAAATATGTCGCTTTGGCATAAGCGATGGTTATGCATGAATGTCGCTAAATCCGACGATCAGGATTACTTAACATATGCATCTATCGTGAATAGACATTGTGACAATTTCAGATTGGCAGAGATTACGGTTGAAGAATTCAAGTGTTTAATTTTTGCTCAAGGACTGGTATCCAGTAAGAGTGCCGAAATAAGACGTAGAGTTTTGGCTAAACTCGAATCTGAACAAAACCTTACCCTACCAAAGTTAGCAGAGGAGTGTCAGCGGGCCGTAAGTTTAAAGAAAGAGTCTCAAAAAATCGAAGAAGCTGGCATTGCTTATATCAAAAAAAATTTAAAAAACAGTCAAATTACCCATCAGCAAAAAATTGGAGTAAAAATTCGGCGTATTTTAAAAATAAACAAGAAAAATTAAATGAAAAGAACGAGGAGGAAAAAAAAATGGTTCCACCATATAATTGTAGACGTTGCAACGAAAGACACTGGGAGGTAAATTGCCCATATAGAAATAAAAATGTTTCGTGTGCCACAAGAATGGACACAAAGGATCGTGTTGTAAAACGAAAAAAGTCAGTAGCCGAATTAGACAAACAAATTCAAATATAAAATCAGATAGAGATTTGAGGAAATATGTGACGACTGAAATATTTAAAAAGAATATCAAATTTCAACTCGATTCGGGTTCAGATTTAACAATAATGAACTATAAAACATGGAAAATTTTAAAAATAGA